AAGGAAGGAAGGAAGGAAGGAAGGAAGGAAGGAAAGAAAGAAAGAAAGAAAGAAAGAAAGAAAGAAAGAAAGAAAGAAAGAAAGAAAGAAAGAAAAAAGGCAAGGGAGGGAGGGAGGGAGAAAAAGGAACAAGGAAGGAAGGAAAAGAAGGAAAAAGGGAGAGAGGGAAGGAAAGAAGGAAGTGAAAAGGAAGGGAGGGAAGGAAGAAGAAAAAAAGGGAAAAGGAAGGGAAGGGAGGAAGAAAAAAGGAACTTAACAGCTGCAAAGATTTCACTTTGCAACTGTGGCAATGAAGGTCGTAAAAGCAGGCAAAACTCACTTAACAAACCGTTTCCCCTCTGGACTTTTTTGTAGGTGTCTGGAATGACTCCAGATTGCACCATCATGACGGTCATTGAGGCTGAACGAGAGAAGTGCCTGGGATACTCCAGTTCGGATAATCTGACTTTAGGTAAGAGGTTCGACAACCTTTTCATCTCCTTAAACATAATTGAAAACATCAGTACAGCAGGCTCCTTCTGCTGACTGCTGGCTGCCTGCAATTTGGCAGTTCGAATCTCACCAGGCTCAAGGTTGACTCAGCTTTCCTTCCTTCCTTCCTTCCTTCCTTCCTTCCTTCCTTCCTTCCTTCCTTCCTTCCTTCCTTCCCTCCCTCCCTCCCTCCCTCCCTCCCATCCATCCATCCATCCATCCATCCCAGCTCAAGGTTGACTCAGCCTTCCATCCTTCTGAGGTGGGTAAAATGAGGACCCAGATTGTTGGGGGCAAGAAGCTGACTCTGTAAACCGCTTAGAGAGGGCTGGAAAGCAGTATAAAGCAGTATATAAGTCTAAGCCCTATTGCTATTGCTATCTAAACTTGGTGGTGCAGTGGTTAGATTGCAGTACTGCAGGCTACTTCTGCTTCTATTTCTATTACTTCCGTAGAAATGGTGGTAGACTTTAGAAGAAACCCTCCCATACTACCACCTCTTACAATACTGGACAACACAGTACCAACAGTAGAGACCTTCAAATTTCTAGGTTCTACTATATCACATGACCTAAAATGGACACCTAACATCAGAAACTTCATCAAAAAAGCACAACAAAGAATGTTCTTTTCTGCGCCAACTCAGAAAGCTCAAAGTGCCCAATGAGCTGCTGATCCAGTTCTACAGAGGAATGATTGAGTCTATCATCTGCACCTCTATAACTGTCTGGTTTGGTTCTGCAACCGAACAGGACAGACACAGACTCCAGAGGATAATTAGTACTGCAGAACCCTATGAACCTTATGAATTACTATCAACCTGCCTTCCATCAAGGACCTGTATACGGCACGAATCAAAAAGGGCTGTGAATATATTTACAGACCTCTTACATCCCTTGACATAAACTGTTTCAACTCCTTCCCTCAAAATGACGCTATATAGAGCCCTGCACACCAGAACAACTAGACCACAAGAACAGTTTTTTCCAAAAAGCCATCACTCTGCTAAACAAATAATTCCCTCAACACTGTCCAACTATTTGCAAAGTCTGCATTAACTTTTAATCTTCCCATCCTTCCTTCACCCATCTTCTCTCGCTTATGACTGTATGACTGTAACTTTGTCGCTCGTATCCTTATGATTCATATTGACTGTTTCCTAGTATGATTTGATTGTTAATTGTACCCTATGACTATCATTAAGTGTTGTACGTTATGATTCTTGATTCTTAATGAATGTACCTTTTCTTTATGTATACTGAGAGTATTTACACCAAGACAAATTCCTTGTGTGTCCAATCACACTTGGCCAATAAATTTTTCTATTCTATTCTATTCTGCTGCCTGCCGGCTGCCTGCAATCTGGCAGTTCGAATCTCACCAGGCTGAAGGTTGACTCAGCCTTCCGTCTTTCCAAATGAGGACCCGGATTGTTGGGGGCAAGAGGCTGACTCTGTAAACCACTTAGAGAGGGCTGTAAAAGCACTGTGAAGCAGTATAGCAGTCTAAGTGCTATTGCTATCTAAAACTGTGGTGCTGCAGTGGTTAGACTACAGTATCGCAGGCTGACTCTGCCCACTGCCAGCAGTTCGATCCTGACCGGCTCAAGGTTGACTCAGCCCTCCGTCCTTCCAAGGTAGGTAAAATGAGGACCCAGATTGTCAGGGGCAACAGGCTGACTCTGTAAATTGCTTAGAGAGGGCTGTGAAGCACTGTGAAATGGTATAGCTAAGTGCTATTTCTTATTGTGGTTTCTGGACGACACAGTTGTGGCTGAACCCATTTCTTATTATGGAAATTGTGTTGTCATACGAACAAAGACCTAATCTTTATTTCTGAACAAGCATCTATTTCTGAGAGCCATCATTCATGGTCTCCAACCTGGTCAGTTCTTCAACTATTAATTTGGAAGCTCAAACATTGGTCCATTTGAAAAACAGGTGAGATACAGCACAGGTAACCCCCCAACTTATAAACCATTCATTTAGAGATTGTTTGAAGTTACAACAACACTAAAAAAAGGTGACTTATGACTATTCTTCACTCTAAACAACCATTGCGTGATCACCGTGTGATCAAAATTCGGATGCTTGGCAACTGACTCGTATTTATGACGATGGGATGATGTGATCCCCTTTTGTAACCTTCTTCAAGAACAGTCAAGTTTAAGGAAAGTCAAGTTCACTTAACAACCGTGTGACTAAATTAACAACTGCAGTGATTCACTTAACAGCTGTCGCAGGAAAGGTCATAAAATGGGATAAGTTTCACTTAACAAGGGTTTTGCTCAGCCACAGAAATTTTGGGCTCAATTGTCATTGTAAGTTGAGGATCTACCTGTATTTTTGCTCTTTAAAATTTCCGTGATGTTATATAAGCCTGGGGAATCTCCGAACAATCACTCGGTTTCGCAGGCCTCTTCAAATTCTTCCTGATTTTGCAATTCGACGGTGAAAAATAAGGAAGTTGGAGAACAGCAGAATTGTTGTGTTATTGTTTAATTCAGGAATTGAATTAACTTCTATTAAATCAACTTAAAGTGGTCTGCCGTTAAGCATTTTTAATAATATCACACATCAATGCACTTCCAGTTGTGTTTTTCCTGGCAATATGTTATTTATATGCAGGTAGTCCTCGACATACGACCACAACTGAGTCGAAAATTTCCATTGCTAAATGAGACCATTGTTTAGGGAATTCTGTCCCGTTTTACAGCCTTTCTTGACACAGCTGTTAAATGAATCGCTGCGGTTGTTAAGTTAGTTAACACAGTTGTGAAGTGAATCAGGCTTCCCCGATGACGTTGCTTATCAGAAAGTTGCCACACTGCGACCGTCATAAATATGAGACAGTTGCTGACCACCTGAATTTTGATCACGTGAACATGGCCACAGTTGTAAGTGTGAAAAATAGTCATGTTGCTTTTTTCAAGTGCCGTTGTAACTTCGGTCACTAAACAAATTGTTTGTAAGTCGAGGACTATCTGTATTTGTATTTCTCAGCCTCTTTCACTGACAGATGGAGGTTTTTCAAGGCAAGGAACCCAATTTGCAAATTTTGTGAACCCCTTGGGCTTCTGTCCCTCCTTCTTTCCCTTTCCTTTCTCCAGAATATTATTGGATCCCCGTGCTTTGAGTGGCAGTTCTATCACCAAATCCTCACACGGCCAGGGAAAGCTCCCGGGACTGTAAAAAGAGAATTTTGGGAGCATTCAGGTCTGTTGTCCATCCTCAGATGGGAGAGTTAGGGGAAAATAAGGAAATAAGAAATTCCAAAGGGATGGAAATAATTGATAGAAATAATTCCTTTCAAAGGAAGTCACCAGAGACTGAATTGCATTCAGTAATGGTAGTTTGTAGGTGTGTCGAGAAATTTAAGTGAACTTATAAAGGCCCTGTCCTTCCTTCCTTACCTACTTACTTACTTACTTCTCTCATTCATTCATTCTCATTTTCTTTCCTTCCATCCTTCTCTTTCTTTTTGCTCCCTTCCTTCTCCTTCTCCTTCCTTCCTTTTTTCCTTCCCTCTTATTCCTGCCTTCTCTTTCTCCTTCCTTCATTCTCTTTCTAGCATCCCTTCTTTTTCCTGCCTTCTCTCTATTCTTTTCTTTTGTCCTTCCTTCGCTCATTTATTCATCCATTCTCTCCTAATTCTTCCTTCCATCCTTCTCTTTCTCTACCTCCCTTCTCCTTTTCCTTCCTTTCTTCTTTCCCTCTCTCTGTTCCTGCCTTCTCTCTTTCCTTCCTTCCTTCCCTCCCTCCTTCATTCTCTCATTCCTTCATTCTCTTATTTCTTCCTTCCATCATTCTCTCTTTATCCTCTTTCCTCCTTTTCCTTCCTTCCTTTCTTCACTCTCTGTTCTTGCCTTCACTCTTTTTTCCTTCCTCCTTCCTTCCTCCTCCCTCCCTCCCTCCTTCCTTCCTTCCTTCTCTCTATTTTATTCATACCTTCTGTCCTTCTCTCTCTATCCTCTCTTCCTACTTGTTTTCCTTCCTTTTCTCCCTTCCCTCTCTCTTTTCCTGCCTTCTCTCTTTATTTCCTTCCTTTTCCTTCTTTCCTTCTTTCCTTTATTCCTTGCCCCTCTTCCCTTGCTCCCACTGTCCTTCCTTCCCTCTTCCCTTGTTCCTTCCTTCATTCCCTCCCTTTTTCCTTCCTTTTTTTGTGGCCCCAGAAGCCCAGCCCTCCTGACCTCCAAGGACATTTACGCAACTCTCTTTGCCTCACTAAAACCTTGCTCAATAGCAGGAACTGTGAGAGGGATCTTGGAGTCCTTAGTGGACAATCGCTTAAATAGGAGCCAGCCGTGTGGCTGCAGCTGCCAAAAAAGCCAACACAGTTCTAGGCTGCATTAACAGAGGGATAGAATAAAAATCACATGAAGTATTAGTATCACTTTATAAAGTAAGGCCACACTTGGAATACTGCATCCAGTTTTGGTCACCACGATGTAAAAAAAGATGTTGAGACTCTGGAGAGAGTGCAGAAAAGAGCAACAAGGATGATTGGTTGCCCTCTCCCCTCTTTGGAAGAGCTTTATAGCTCCCGCTGGAGAAAGGAAGTCCAAAACATCCTCAAAGATCCATCTCATCCTGGGAACCCCCTTTTTTTTGAACTATTACCACCTGGCAGACGGTACAGGATAATAAATACAAGGACAGATAGGCTGAAAAACAGCTTCTATCCCAGGGCAATAGGTCTGTTGAATTCTACTGTACAGTGCAGTATTGGTGCGGTGTCGGGGTTTTCAATTCAATGTGTGGAGTGTGAAGGATGTGTGTTTGTGTTTATTTTCATGGTTGTGATGTGCACTGAAGATGGCGTTTGATTTCGTTGTACGAGGTGCAGTGACAATAAAGTAAACTAAACTAGGGGCTTGGAGGCTAAAACATAAAGAACAGTTTCTAATGAAAAGAAGAACTAGGGTTGACATGATAGCAGTGTTTGGATATTTGAGGGGCTGCCACAAAGAGGTGAGGGTCA